CCAATAGGGCTATAGTCATAAAAAATAATACCAACCCTAAACCACGTGTAAAAACAGACATGTCAAAGAGGGCAGTTCTTGGTTAGACTAAGTAGCAATGTTGACCTGACTTTGTTGATAGTGAAAGTCTGGCTATGTGAGACTAACCAAGTACTGGTAATTTAAAGTATAATTAAGAGCTATGGGGTGATTTCTTTTTTTTTTATATACAGTATATATATATATATACATGGGCAGAAACCTAAGGAAAGAAAAAGGGACAGCAGTGGTTGAACAAAACAACTGAATTTGAGTTTGTAATATTTGGGAATGCATCAATATTACAATTCTGTTTGATACCGATTAACTTCTAATTATTTTAATGGATGCTAACTGATAAATAGCCGATTAGTAAAATTATACACTAATTTGTCTAAACAAATAAACACATAGAATACAAAAAATTAAATAAAAGCCATTTTAAATTAGGTCACAACATAATGTACAGTATGAAAAATTAATATTGTTATTAAATTATTCGTTTCTAAAGATTAACTGTGCTAAGTGAGCACTAGACAGCACACTTGAATTAAAACATAAGGTAAATGAGCATACAAAACTAAATATCTAGAGTCAGTATATTTATAATCGCCTTACTAGTAACGATTACTAAAAAAAACCCCTTTGTGTTTCCCTAATTGTAGCTCCAATCCTACACAGGATAAAAAAATACCTCCTCAGCGAGTTGCTTGAGTTTGTCCAGCCAGCCTTCAATGATGCTCAAGCACTTATTAACATCTGTGGCTTCCTCAAACAAGTGTTTTGCTCCCTTCATGATGTTCTCCAGAGCACGGTCCCGTAACATCTTTTGCTGGATGTCCAGGGCTGTGAGATTGGGCTTCCCCTCCATGTCAGGAATTCTGAAACTGAGACACAGGAGTTTGTATTAGTTAAAACATGCATGACAAAAATCATGATGAATGTTGAGCTAAAGTGGATATTACCTGCTGATGTCTTCCATTAACTGATTGATGAGCTTCAGCCAGATTTCTACTAGCCTTGCATCTGTAGCTTTGGACTGTACTGCAGATTTTAACGCACTGAGGTTGGTTTGCTGCAAAAGGACGAATCGTATTAACAGGTTTGATGCACAAAGAATACATTTTATTCACACAAGTTGAGAACCACTGGTGTGTGATGTAAACAGAGAGTGTGTACTGCTAGAAACTTTAAAACATTCACTTACCAAACGGTTAGATATATACAGAATGGTGTTCAGTGAGTCTAACCGGTGACTGATATCCTCCCAAAAGGATGTGATGGCAATCACAGGCTTGGTGTCGGCCCAGGGCAGGTAGTAGTAATTATTACCTGGAAGAACCAAACAAAACTTAACACCACAGATTCTATTTTCATTTACTCAGTATCTTTATTAGACACCAAATGTGCATCACCATCAAAAACAGCACAGCTGTATTGTGTGGTCGAAGCCAGAGGTTTGCATGTTAGGTCCATCTTGTTGCCATAGTTGCCAATGCTAACTTCAAACTGAATGGGCTCCCCTGGTTCTTGGATCATAGTTGCACTATGAAACACTGCACACAGACAATACTTCCTTCTGCGCTGGTATTTCTATTCAAAGAAAGGAGCACAAAGCGTAAATAAAGGTGTCAAGTGGAAAAACTACTTTGTATGGGAACTCAACAAAGAGCCTCACCTGAACAACTAAGATATCATCGCTTGGTATTTCCTCCACAGACTTGTCAGCCTTCCCATCAAGTTTTGTGGAGAGTTCAACAAGTATTCTACCTCGGTAAGCCGCCCCTTCACCCTGCAAATATATACAAATTTTTCAGCCTACTTGAAATGCATTTTTGCTGCAAATAAATTCTCAATACCTGGGGATGGAAACATATCAAATTCATCATCTGCACTTGCCTTGCCTAAATTAAGGTCTTCATAAGGGTCAGATAAGGCTGAGAACTCTCTCGGGCTGCCATACAGATTTATATAGCAAGGGCCAAAAGTAGGCAGGAAGCCCATCTCAGAATCCCCAGTCTCTCCTGTGAAAAACACAATCAATAAAAATGTTTCTAGTGACATGATAGTAGCTGGATAGATGTTAGAGTAAGGTTTGTTAAAGCATCCCAAAGCAGAGCTCCTTAAATTAGTATTTTGATTAGTATTATTAGAAGTGATTTTAAAATGTGCACAAAGTTCATTATATAAACTATTATTAAACTCCTGCTATGGAAAACAATGAAATTGCATGTCAGCACAATACGATTGTACACAAATGAAATATTTTCACAATAACAAGATATACACTACCGGTCAAAATAAAAATAAAAAGTTTAACGCTTTTAGAAAAAGTTTCTTATGGTCACCAAGACAGCATAAGAGACTGCTTTCAAAAACATAATACATTTTTTTTTTTTTATTATTCCAATCCAAACTTTTGACCGGTATTGAAACCGAGATGCATAATTAACCCATGCCATTTTATTTAGGTGATTAATGTTATTGTGAATTGCATTATTTCATTACTTGGTGTGCAACATGATGCATAACATGCCAAAAATAGCATAAGTGTTCTGTGGTTATGCTAATTCGAAGAGCGTGCGCAGGGATTCATAATAAGCGTAAAGTAACTGCAAACCCTTGGGTACCAAATTCTCACAGACCAATAAAGATGGTTGGTTTGAGAGAACAATGTGTTTAATGAAACTTAAAAAGAACTGCATGTTAACTAGTGTTTTTTTATTTTTTATTCCTATATTGTGTGTTTGGACACAAGGGATTGCAGATGTGGAATCCGTGCAGATATTCAACCTTTATATGTTGAAAACTCATCTCCTGGATGATCCTCTATCACAAAGAAAACAAACAAAAAAATTTTGAGTTTCATAGCACAATCTCAAAAGATCAGGATATGACTCTGCATTTAAAAAAGAAAAAGTTTGACATGAAAATTATTTGCATATACTGTATTTTATACCTTCAATTTCACCACCAGAGGATGCTATTTTGGTCAGATCCAGATACGTGGTGCCTATGGCATCATTCCCACTGAGGCGATCCCTGAGAAAGAGGGGGAGTCAGCTTAAATGTTCCAGTGTGTCACACAAACAGTCCAGCTAGGGGCCGTCTCAGTTTTTCCACTGTTCCCTAAGCAGCTGTAGTCTGGTTTATGGGGAGGAATGCATTGTGGGAGAGGGTGGGACGGCACTGCTATGACTCATACTACCTGCCTGTGTCCTCCCAGTTCACATTCCAAGACTAATAACACAGGGAATTCTCTCAACACAGATTTCAAAAGTTCATATCAGCTGTGGCGACACAACCTTACCACTATGCTTTGATGCTCACCAGTCAAATACAGTCAGCTTGATTCTTTCACACATGGACGGGAACTGTAAAACAAGTAGCACCAATGTGAAACTTCAAAGGACTAACACATTTATAAAGTGCAGAAACAAATCTTTCCCAATCCAGCCAATTACCTTGACCTGTAGGTTGAGCTGTTGGTTCCACTCTGGGTTTGCGTTTTTCTCAATTATTTGTGTACAGAGCTAAAAGACATATAATTAGTTAAGACGAAAGACAGAAGCAATAAGTGTGTATATGTCTGGGTGGGCTGTACCTTTTTACCAGCAAACCAGGCTTCAACATATGGATCCACTAGATTCTTCTTGTTTTCTTGACCTCCAAATGCCTCTTTTAAAGTCTGGGTGATGGAATCATCCACTAAAAAAAAAAAACAATTTCAGAGTTACAACTTCTGTCATTTTAAAGTGGAGTTAATTTTTTCACAGACTGGGAAAAGAATCTAGAACAACTTACTAAATATAACCTTTCTAGTAAATGTTACTTTTATTTAAATTTTTTTTTATATACACGTTACTTAAAGGTGGGGTAAGTGATTTCTGGTAGCCAATGTTGAT